CACACTTTCTATACAACTAACTGAAAATCGTTCCTCATATGACGTCACTGCAGTGCTCTGGCGACAGAGTTACGTAACCTGTCTGTGGTTTCGTTGGCGGGCGAGAGTGAAGCAGGCGACTTTTTGGCAACTTTTAATCGCTTGATTATGATCAGTGTTTCATTGAGTATGTTATGTTTATTAGTTTTCGAATTAGATTGCAATCGGTCCGCTTTTGAGCCAAACAGACTATAGTTGTTGACACAGACTGTTGAAGCACTGCAACCAGGATGTGGCCAATATATTTTGATTGGGTCATTTGTGTGGTTTCAACTTTCAAATAAGGTGGAATGGGAGACCCAAATCCAAGTGTCATTGGAATTATGGTGAAACATTTGTGCTATTCATTCATTGATACATGTATGTTCATCACAATTCTGTTTCAGTGGCCATGAAAGTATTGCCCCCTTTTCCATGCACATAGGTCTGATTTATGTATCATGGATGCTGATATAACTGTATAAAGGGGACTTCTTTGATGGGCATTTTAGAAGTTGAGTTGATGAAGAATAATGACAATTATTATGGATATACAACTTCTTTTATTCTGTGGAGGCGACGTTTTGACATAGATTCTAATGTCGTTGTCAAGCAAGTGATACATGAGTAACAAATTCAGAGAATATATACATGAGTTGTTATTACAGTAGATAGGGAATGAGTTGTTTTTTACAATAAGTGAGGTTGATGTACAACGCTTGTATATGAGATTGAGTAAGTTGATAGGAAGCCAGTAGGGTGACATACAAGGACTGAATTAGAGCTTATACAACTGATAGGAAGCCAGGTGGATGTTTATACAATGGATGGGGTAGATGTACATGGTTGAATTGAAACAGATTATGAACACAAGAAATATTATTGATTACTTTATCAAGTGATGGTAGGCATTGGGAATGTAGTATCCTTCATCTCTGTTGAGGGCGGGTTCTATCTTCTTGATGTGTACTGCTTCCAAAAGTTTACGCATTTTGTAGTCTGACTGCTTGTATAAAGGGGAGTTATAATATATTATAAGCTTCATTATCTCAATGTCATGTAGGGGATTCATCTTTTATCTGACATCGACACCCACCATGGCCAGAATTCATAGTAACTCAGTGTTTTGTACAAATTTTCTGTTATATTGGAAAGTTTACACATTGCTCAAGGTTTAAACTGGACAGTGGTGCGATGAGCATCGACCTGCGTAATAGGGAACCTATGACATGTGTCAGCCAAGTCAGCGAGCCTGACCACCCGATCCCGTTAGTCGCCTCTTATGACAAGCATGGGTTACTGAAGGTACATTCTAACCCGGACCTTCAGGGGTTGAATATTCTTTAAAGTTCTGTATACTGCAGACAGAGGAATATCATGTCTACCAGCTAACTCTTTTGCATTAGTCACACCCCTTTCAAACATCTAGAACCAGCGTTCTTTTCTCTTTTGCTGTCAAATCTGCCATGTCAACAAAGGAAGCTGTCTGCTACACCAGGGGAGATAACTCTTGATGCAGTAAGGTTCATTCTGAAGCCTATAAGAGTTGCCTCCCATATTAAGTACCTTACTACACAGTGTAACACCTATTTTAAAATTCTATTGTCAGTATTAGGAAACAAAGATCTTCTCAGTAATTTCTGGGAAAACTATGTATTCACTTTTTGCCACTACTTCTGGATCTGTCAATCCAGTTCTTTCATTTGATGGACTCTGGTCATACCAATGTCAAGGCCATACACATAACGGGAGCCCAGAATGTCATCACCTATGCCTAGTCTCACCCAAGACCACTGTTGCCGACCGAGTGGAGACTCCATCCTCTGTCTTTGTCTTTTACCCTTTTTATCCCCCGCAATGCGTTTTGCTGGGGGGTGGGTTGGTATTAAAATGGACTCCTTGCACATTCATCTTTTTCCGGAGCAGAACTTTAAAACCGTTTTCAAAATTTCTTCACCAAACTTGGCACATAGGTAGATCTGGTGGTGTTCTGGTGCCTTTTGATAGTTTTGGATTTCTGAATAAAATATTTTTTGCATTTCCATGGCAACAAGTTTGACTTCAACTGAAATTGGTCGTAGTGTTCTTTTCCAGAGCAGTATTTAACAACCTTTCACTATTTATTCACCAAACTTGGCACATAGATAGGTCTGGTGGTGTTGTGGTGCCTTTTGATAGTTTTGGAATTCTGAATACTAGTAAAATAGTTTTTGTGTTTCCATGGCAACAAGTTTGACTTTGACTGATTTTGGTGGGAGTGTTCTTTTCTGGAGCAGAACTGCAAACCGTACAATATTTCTTCACCAAACTTGGCACATAGATAGGTCTAGTGGTGAACTGATACCTTTTGGTAGTTTTGGAATTCTTAATAAAATACTTTTTTGTATTTCAATGGCAACAAGTTTGACTTCGACTGAAATTGGTCTTGGTGCTATTTTCCAGAGCAGAACTTTAACTTTAAAGCCGTTCAATATTTCTTTACCAAACTTGGTACATAGATAGATCTGGTGGTGTGCTGGTGCCTTTTGGTAGTTTTGGATTTCTGAAAAATATATTGTTTTCTTTTCTATGGCAACAAGTTTGGCTTCGATTGAATTTGGTAGTAGTGCCCCTTTCTGGAGCAGAACTTAAAATCCATAAAAACTTAAAATACTCTCCTTCCACTTTGCTATATACACACCAAAACATTTGACATAATCATAACTAGTAGACATAATCTTGCTATTGCAGGGGATATTGATGACTTTGTCTTCTTGTCTTCATTGATCCTTACTCCAAGGACCATTGCTACATTTTTGTTGATCATACCCCGAAGACCCTTTGTCAGTCCCACTCATGTCAGCTTCGTCTCCATCAGATCTTACCATCAGCTGCAGCAATCCCTTCAGGATTGTTAATCCCCCAGCATTCAAAGAAGCCTCCAGTGTTCCAGCTTTCATCGTCTCAGCTTAGTTCATCCTTGTGTCCGATGTTACATGGGCAGCATTTTACTCCTGCAAATCATCTTACCAGTCAAGGTTCTACAAATACTGCTTCGTTGATACCTCCTTGACATACTTCAGCTGCCTTGTGGGATCATAGATCACAGGATAATCACATAGCCATGCAGCCCTTTGACTTCCAGATGATTGTTCAGGCTGTTGATGAAGCCTTAAGGGACGATAAACCCTCCGTTTCTCCACTATCTCATCGTCTCCCAGGACATAACTATAAGCAGTAACAGATAAATAGTACACCAGTACTGATTGGTCGATAGGTTGGAATCCTCAAGCAAACCCCCTTTTGTTAGCCAATGAATGAAAAGCATACGCTAGAAGCAGAAATAATTGTACCTTTAGTCGAAATCTTCATTACAATTGCTAAACGATCCGTTAACATACTACTCCAGATTTTACTGACATACCGTTGTATAAGCTAATAGGCAAGGTGATGCTGGAGGCTGGAAACCTTTCTCAAGGTGGTTTCTACACCACTGACAAGAGCAATGGAAGCACTCACCATGTGATAGGATAAGTATAATAAATGTACAACATATTGTAACATTTTCAAATTAAGAATATCACAGTTTTATTTAGATAGTGATTATAAGTTGCTGTAATTCACCACCAACAGCAACCAACCTTGGCTATTGTTATCCCCCGCAACGCGTTTTGCGGGGGGTATTAAAATGGACTCCGTCCGTCCGTCCGTCCGATCCCATCTGTCCGTCTCCGTCCGTCTGTCCGTGCACATTTGTCTTTTCCGGAGCAGAACTCTAAAACCATTCAATATTTCTTCACCAAACTTGGCACATACATGGATCTGGTGGTGTACTGGTGCCTTTTGGTAGTTTTGGAACTCTGAATTAAATATTTTTGGCGTTTCCATGGCAACAATTTCGACTTTGACTGAAATTGGTGGTAGTGCTCTTTTCCGGAGCAGAACTCTAAAACCGTTTAATATTTCTTCACCAAACTTGGCACATAGATAGATCTGGTGGTGTACTGGTGCCTTTTGGTTGTTTTGGAATTCTGAATAAAATATTTTTGGCGTTTCCATGGCAACAAGTTCGACTTTGACTGAAATTGGTGGTAGTGCTCTTTTCCGGAGCAGAACTCTAAAACTGTTCACTATTTCTTCATCAAACTTGGCACATAGATACATCTGGTGGTGTACCTGTGCCCTTTGGTAGTTTTGGAATTCTGAATAAAATATTTTTGGCGTTTCCATGGCAACAAGTTTGACTTAGCCTGAAATTGTGGTAGTGCTCTTTTCCGGAGCTGAACTCTAAAACTGTTCACTATTTCTTCACCAAACTTAGCACATAGATTGGTCTGGTGGTGTACTTGTGCCTTTTGGTAGAATAAAATATTTTTGCGAATTCTGAATAAAATCTGCTCTTTCTGAGCAGAACTCTAAAACCATTCACTATTTCTTCACCAAACTTGGCACATAGGTAGATCTGGTGGTGTACTTGTCCATGGCAACAAATTTGACTTAGACTGAAATTAGTGATAGTGCTCCTTTCTGAAGCAGAACTTTCAAAACCTTTCAATACTCTCCTTCCACTTTTCTATATACACACCTAAATATTTGACATAATCATAACTAGTAGACATAATCATGAAGAGTATTTTGCCATTGCGGGGGATATTGATGACTTTGTCTTCTTGTTGATATTGCTAAGTTATATAGATCTCATCTTGAAAATGTGAGGTGATGGTGTAAAAGTTATTTCCATTGAGGTCATACTTTGCTCTGCTCATACAGTCGACATCACTGAGCAGGTTGACAGCCACAAAGATAATGCTACCATTCATCTTTTGTATTGTTTCCTTGGAAAATGATACTGCTGCCATTTGTTTTGTGTAGACACAAATGGGTTTTTAGGGACGGCTTTGCAAGGCTGAACGTCTGTTTAAGTTTACTGCAGGCCACTGAGAATTCATTATTTCAACGTTCACATATTTTACATGTTCCATGTAGATTCCTTTTCCTTTCAGAGAAATACTTTCATGGAAGGCAAAAAGCTAGTGGCTGTAATATCTGATGCAGCCAGTACAGGTATGATTTGATCTAATGTGAAACATTCTTAAATGCAAGAAAGGTTGTCTATAGGCTAACTGTATGAATGATGCTGTTGATCAGTTCCAGAGTAGCTGTGTTTTTGTGCTCAGCACAGTTTGTTTGTATACAGAAGAAATGGTCATTTTTTTCAGTGCGACAGCCTTGTTAATCGTAAACTGTGTTTCAGAATGCAGATAGTTTATGCAGTCAATTCACCTCTCCGCAAAAATTTGATTGACTCTCGGTCTGACCAGTGTTAATAGATCTACTAGCACAAGAATCCATTCTGCTGTTATCATTTCCAAACAGACAGCTGGCTGTTGGTCTTAAAAAGCTGTAAAAGTGGTGTATTTCAAATTTCACTCAGAGCATAAATAGTTTACTTTTATGACACACACATGACTGAAAAAAACAATGAGGCAGACAAGGACATTGTAACAGTGGTGACAGGGGCACAGAAAGACTTCAAGGCGGCATAAAAATTATACCATTTCCAAAACGCAAGATTGATTATGAGAAGTGTCTACGTTGGATTCAACTTTGTGTTTGACCTGATTTTTGCTTTATGATGGGTACACGTATTGCTCATGATGCATGTCTAATATGAATGTGAGGTGTGCCCAAAAGGTCACAAATAATCATATAAACAAACATAATTGTGATATGAATATTAATGGCTATGTGGGGTTAAAATAATACATCGCAATACATTTTTCCATGTTTACATAATAAACCAAAAAGTTTGGAAACATTAAAATATTTGAGATATTGTTTTGCTACGAAGAGCGAGCACACAATAATAATAATAATAATAATTAGTGTATTTTTATAGCGTTAAATACTCCAGACACTAAGTGTCTACTCCAAGCGCCTGCACAGCACATTATTAACCCGGATAACCCAAGTTGCCTGTGAGGCGCCAGAAGGCTATGGTCATATGACTTATCCCACCGGGTACCCATTTTCTGCTGGGTGAACAGAGGCATGTTTGAACAAACTCACTTGCTTGAGTTGAGATCACATGTGTTTCGTTGTGGGGCAGGACTAGAAACTCTCAGGAGTCAAGCTGCCATGCACTGTCACCCATCCGAGGATTCTCTGTGCCCAACGTTGCTTAACTTCAACTGTTTCTGACCAGAGCACTATACACAGGACCACATGCCACCACAATTAAAACATATTCATGATCCCTGACTTCTTTTGTTCAGTATATTAACTACACCATCTTGATCTAAACTGATGTTTTGTTTCAAAGTTTACTATGTGGACACGTCTTTATTCTGTGATATCGTACCAGTTTGCAACATTGCTTGTTATTCTCATACTGACTAGTGCTCTTGCACACGTCACAAAATTAGGGAATGGAAGGCACTTGGTTGTACCAATATGGAGCATGGCAAGTATGACCTTTCATGCAGTTAATGAATTGTTATGTTTATAAAAAAATAAGACACAGATGCAATAAAATATCTTACCCTGTTTGGCATATACAGTGAGCATAGGAAATCAGTGTTGGTTTAATGTCAACATTGATGGAATGAGGTGTCTTGCTTTTCTTCTGACTGCAGTAGCATTTCGTGCTGGTGACAATGGTGTCATCCTCACCACAAAACATTCTTGTAGAATGAAAATACCCATCACTAAAAATCGGAGGGTTCTTTCTGTCACCATGTTGTGTACAAGTTTGTTTAAAGGTCACATGCAACCAAAAAATCAAACATAATTAAAACACAATTATCACTTATTCATGACATATAATATACATTGCTGGTTATGAAAAAACATATAAACAAAATTATAAGCGTACGATCGCAAATCAAAAGTGCAATATTGTGTACTTCGGTTTACTTCCCAAGAAACGAAGCACCCGGGATACCGAACCCAGTCGGAGCGGGTGGGTGTGCACTCAAGTGTAACGGCTGGTTCATTTGCAGATGCCCTCACGGCTCATTGTGTGTGTATATATAGATATGTTGGGTTTTGTAAATACATGCTCATTTTTTGTGTATAACATTTTGCAATCAACAGACATCATAACATGTCATGTGTTCAAGTATCACACCTGCCTGTCTGTGTAATTACATAATGTGACAGAGACCGAACTCGGGCCATAAATCAATGCATTTTGTTTATGGTGTATAGCCTGATTGGTGTTAAGTTCAAATTGCATGTGGTCAGTGATCGAAGCTGACACACAGGTGTCAATAAAACAAGACATTGAGTTTAGTCTGTGACGACGACATATCTATATCACAGTTGGAAATTCTGTCAACGCTAAATAATGGCATTGCTTTTAAGTATCGAACTGAGAAAGTGACATGGTAAGAAGAACGTGTGGTGAAATAGACAAATGAAATTATATAAACAGTTAATTTACTGTCATAACATATAAAAAGCTCGCGCCTGTGAGATATCAACAAAACATTAGAAAAATAGCTCACACCAAAGCCTTCACCGAGTATTCACCGGACAACCACTTCCAAGCTGCGCGAACCTACTTCACCTGCGCACGTGCTATAAGCGCAGCCCAGCTGTTGAAACCCGTTTTCCCCCGAAAAGTCGGGGGAAAATTAGTGAAACGTTTGAACTCCGATTTCGCGCGTTTTTTTTCATCGCGTTTTTTTTCAACTTTATAAGTTGAATTTGCATTTTTGACGCTTTGTTTCGGTAAGTCCATACCGAAAGGTATCAGAATCTGCAAAGTTGTGTTTTACGTTGCATGTGACCTTTAAGGATTTGACTGCTGGGTCATGACCTGTTATCTGCATGGAGAGGTGAATTGTCGTTAAACGTGCTAAAGTCCTTATGATAAATATATGAAACGTGCTCACAATTTACAAACCAGTTTTTTTTTAATAGTGAATTTACCTATTTAGTGCATACACTATTGTAAGAAAAGCTAGACTTCATTGTGATGTTTACTTCATGTCAAACATTGTCATTTATTTTGATAAGAATGTGATGGGAAATGATAAAAGAAATAACTACCCAATGTGTGTGATGAAAAGTGTTTTTTACACTAGGAATATCACTGCATGCTGACGTGAGAGCTGCCAATCAGCGACGTCGAGTTCACCTGACTGTGGAGTTGCCATGGAGTGCAGACAAGGCTGTCCAGCAGTTAGGACGCTCACACCGCTCCAACCAGTCCAGGTGAGTTGATCATTGTAGTAACCGTCCCCATGTGGGGAAAACTGGTCACAATGATTATCTGCTGTTGGTGAGATGAGCCTCCCTGAACCTCACTAGCCATAGGGTCACATTAACTAAAGGGATAATCTTCCAGTCAGGTCTGTTTGTTGAATACCAGATATGATTCAGAAATAGTTGAAATCAAATATCAAAGTGCTCTTCAACTCATAATGGAATACAACATGGTGTTCTCACAGTCACAAGGTGATTAGGCTAGAATTTGTACTCATGCTGTAGTGTTTTTGAAAACGTAATTCTTACAAATATGTCCCTTTAACACTCTGTTACCTTTTTTTCCTGAAACTTCTCTATGAATCCACAGGCTGACTTGAATAGAAAGTATAATTTGGACCTTTTGGTCCACCAAAGCTATCAGCATGCAGATAGTGCTATTATTTCCCCAGGAGGAAGCACTGGGAAATCTCATCATTTTTCCTGTGGCTCACGGGGCGGTGGGGTAGCCTAGTGGTTAAAGCTTTGGCTCGTCACGCCGAAGGCCCGGGTTCGATTCCCCACATGGGCACACTGTGTTACGCCCATTTCTGGTGTCCCCCGCCGTGATATTGCTGGAATATTGCTAAAAGCGGCGCGTAAAACTAAACTCAGTCAGTCAGTCCTGTGGCTCACATGTTCACACACTTGTTCTCTGAAAAATTTTCCACTTTCATCTAAGGTTTGGTTATTTATTTCTGTTATGTTATAGGTAAATCAAAAAGATAAAAATGTATCACTGTTTCAATAAGAATGAAAAATCATCCCCTCAGGATCCACACTCTGACTGCTGGGAGACTGTTGTTACCCAATGTTTATTCATTGTGAGGTGAGAGGCTTGCCAACCCCTTTTACAAAAGCCAACATCAGAGTTTGTTTCAACACCCAAATATGTCATGGAGGAAGTCTTTATCTGCAGCACTAGAGCCTTTTGGAGACCTCATTAAGGGACTAGAATATCGGTGTTTTCACAGGAGGAGGACATGGACTGCCTTGGATTACCACCTCCAAAGTGATAGTGCACTGAGATGAAGTCACAGGGACAGGGTACTGTCAGCAACCATCTCTTCACCAGAAGCATATCTGGGGCAGAACCAATGGACCATAACTTGGAGCGAGAGGATTGCACACCTTCCAGGACTCTTAAGGAGTACACACTATCAAGATATTTGACTAACTAAAAGTACAACATTGATCAAGAGGACCTAGTGATTCTGTCCACCAACTCCTTGCGCAATTGATAGCAGGGCTTGTACAGTGGTTAGAAATCGATCTAGATCTGTCTTGGACCTCATGGACAGCATTGACCGCGAGCTACCCAGGAAAACCACACAGAGGAGTACTGTTGAGGGTATGCTAGCCTAAGCACCGACTGCATGTGCAACACAGCTGTTCGGGACACACAGACCAGGATCCTGTCCATTGTTTCAGCAGCTATTCATAATAATAATAAGTTTTGCCCAATTTTACAAGTAAACATGCTTTTCTGGATATCCCATTGAACGCCCAGTTAGGCCGATGTGGGTTTTTTCGACATATGCTTTTTATCCCACCGGCATGTAATGTGGTGGGATATAGTCGTCGCCTCGTCCGTCTGTCCGTCCGTCCATAATCATTTTGTTTCAGGAGCATTACTCAAAGACCGTTCAATATTTTTCAACAAAAATTGGTAGATATGTCAAACATAACCTAAGGTGGTGCCTTTTGCTATTTACAGATTATTGTCATTTTTATTTTTTTCGGTTTCCATGGAAACGTTTCGGACTTAGTCTTAAAGAAGGGTGGGCTTCGTTTCCGGAGCATAACTCAAGAACCTTTCAATATTTTTCAACAAGACTTGGTAGATATATCAAACAGAACCTTAAGTGGTGCCTTTTGCTATTTGCAGACTTTTGGCCTTTTTAATTTTCCCGGTTTCCATGGAAATGATTCGGACTTGGTCCCAAAAGTGAGGGTTGGGCTTCATTTCCGGAGCATAACTCAAGAACCGTTCTATATTTTTCAACAAGACATGGTAGATATATCAAACAGAACCTTAAGTGGTGCCTTTTGCTATTTGCAGATTTTTGGCCTTTTTATTTTTCATGGTTTCCATGGAAACGATTCATACTTAGTCTCAAAAGGGCGGGGTAGGTTTCGTTTCCGGAGCACAACTCAAAAACTTCTTAATATCTTTCAGTAAAACTTGGCAGATATGTGAGGCAGATCTTGAAGTGGTGCCTTTTGCTATTTGCAGATATTTGTAATTTATGTTTTTCATGATTTCCATGGAAACGATTTGCACTTAGTGTAAAATCAAGCTTGACTTTAAGTAACTGTCAGATGATTTGTTCTTTCAAAGATGTGGGGGGATATGTCATCTTCTGATGACTCTTGTTGCAATTGTGAAAATTTTAGGGATACAGAGTAACAGCCTAAAAACAGTTTTTTTCTATTTCCGGCAGTACTTTAATCCACAGATTCGTCCATGAACCACTTTTCAGAAGATCAGGATTATCTGATGTTGTATGGAATGGATCTCAGTGTGGATGCACCGTACCAGAACTGGGCTAGATATATTCTCCAAGCTCTCTTGGCCAACTTAGCAGGGCAGTTTACTCTGTAGATTGGATCTTTACCTTCACAAGATATAGTCCTCCATCTCATCGGTATCCAGGAATATGTTATACTCACAACCCTTATCTGGTCATTTGTTTAATGGCAGATGTGATGAGGCATTGGATCTACTAAAAGGATGGATGATCGCAAGTTTCAGCCCTTCAATTTAGATTCAGACCTCCTCATCCCTATCATCCGGGGCCCCACAAGAACCAGACTGGGCAGAGCCAACAGAAGTTCTCTAGAATGGACTTCTGTCGTGACAACAGTAGTAGCACCTAGTCTTATTCCAAGAACTATAGGAAAGGACATCCATTGAAAGCTTGGAGAGGAGCTGACTTGACTGTCTTTAGACCTCCACTTTCACATGCTTATAACACGACTCAGGATTTGTCCAAAGATTTTGCGATAAAGAAGCCTAAGTTTCCTACAAAGGTGTTTACATGTCCAGTGGGTGTCTGTCCACTCTGTTACTGTCACAGACATCATTCAGCCTTTTACCAGCATTTCAATTCAGCCAACCCTTGGTTGAGACATGATCGTCTTGACCTTGAGAGAAATTGTGGTTTGTCACAGTTTCCAGATTATATCCTGAACATGTCTGTGAGAAACACCAAGAATGTGATTTAAGTCTTTTCATAACCCGACTTACGTCTTTTTTCTGCTTGTGTGGCAGAATGCCTGTCTAAAAGTATGTTTCATTACAGAAACAGGCCTGTCAAAAGGCACTTTTCACAATCGTCTGAACATTCTCTTGTGCATTGACATATGTTATAGGTCCTGTTATATACTCCTGCTGCCACTTGTCCCATTGCATTTTCATTTTTTATTGTAAACCCAAAATTGTTCAGTATAGTTTGTTGGTTAATTATTGATCTTGAGAGGTCACTAAGTGACATCAAAGTTTAGTTCTATACATACTATTTCCTTTGTTAACCTTTACTTTTGAATTTGGAAATCTCCTCACTACCATTTTCTCTGATAATTTCAAGGTCATAAACAATTTCATAAAAAGGTTCAAGTTGTTTCACTTTCTCAAAAAGTATTAATTAGTTCATCATTAACGTTGATATTTGCCTTCTTTAGAATTTAGGGGAAAAAGGAGTTAAAAATACAGATGAGAAGTAATATTTTTGTCAAACATAGTTAAAGCAGTGTCAGTTTTTTTGGCTTGGTTGTTCCTGCAGGCACAAAATGGTCTAAACCCTTCTTGTATCATATCTCAAGATGTGTTTTATTTCATCTTCTTTCCCTTTTTTATCTGTATCAGTGGTCCATTGTACAAACTCCTAACTACCAATCTTGGAGGCGAGAGGAGATTTGCTGCTGCTGTTGCTCGCAGATTGCAATCACTGGGTAGGTTAATGTCACTGTTCTTTCACTGGCTCATCTGAGTGAAAGTCAAGTCAGCTTATGTTTTACCTGTATGTCAGCTGGTGGAGAGCCAGCATGTAGGTATGTATCACCTGTATGGCAGCTGGTGGACAGCCAGCACGTAGGTATGTATCACCTGTATGGCAGCTGGTGGAGAGCCAAATTATGGAAAGGCCCCACAGTGTATGTGGGTACTGTGGCCTATGTACCAGGAAGTACAAAAGAGGGCGAAATGGACAAGTATTAGAAAATGCAACTAGTTGCTGCACAAACTGAAATATAAATTTTTTAAACTTATCCTATCTCACGACTTGCACCTCTCTCTCTCTTGCTTCGACTTTTAGTGGAACGAATGTAAACTTTTTTCCATAGGCCTCCTTGTCCATTCGCCCGTGCACTCCATGCTGCTCTCCTTAATTAGCTTCCTAGCTGCTAATAAACTTGCACCATGCTCCACTAATTGCCCACGTGACTACCTTGAATGATCATTCTCTTTCTTGTCGCACGACTGTGTGAACGTGCTGTATATTAGGGACATTATTTCACCCTAACATCATGGGGAAAACAGATAATCAGTCAAGGAAAAGGAAAGTTTGTGCTCAATACAAGACGAATTATTCGTCCCTCGACCCTCATTCGTCTTGCAGTGACTGTATTGGACAATGTAACTGGAACAAACGATGTGGCAAGTGTAATTGAGGATTTTAAAGCCTACCTTCGTGTTTGCTCCCGGAGAATCGCCAATAGGGACAGGAAATCAACAGAATCGGATCCCACTCCCGCCAAGCGTATCAAGTTACAGCGACAGAAAATCGTACCTTCACGCAAGACAGTGTGGTTCAAGAGGACGCTTCATCAGATTCTTACTTATCTGAGGACGTTTGGCACCTATTACGTACGCATCAATCACCTCCTTCCATAGCGTCAGATCACTCGCAGGTGGTTGTGATCGATAATTCATCGTTGCCTGTCCCATCTACACTACCAGGGGACCTTAGATCGACACTATCACCATCCAGATCATCGGTACATATCCCCTCGACTGTCTCAGTTTGTTTGGAGCCTGGCCAACTGCGTTCAACCAGCCAAATGTCTCCCCACAGTTCATTGAACCAGACGGAGCTGGCAACAACAGTGTCGCAGGGGGACATTCATCATGAATCAGCACTTCAGGTTTCGTCACCTAATCGCTGATCCAGATCACCACATCATTCTAGATCACCACAACGATCTAACTCACCTTCACAATCCAGATCACCATCACAAACCCGATCTAGATCACCGGATCGATACAGATCACAGTCACGATCCAGAGCACAACTACGATCCACATCACCTTACCGATCCAGATCACCAAACGGGTCCAGATCACAACTTTGAATCAGATCACCACACTGATCCAGATCACCTAGCCGATCCAGATCACCGAACCGATTCAGATCACAACATCGAAGTAGATCATCGGACCGATCCAGATCACCTAATCGATCTAGATCACTGAATGGATCCAGATCACAACTTCGAATCAGATCACCGGACTGATCTAGGTCACCTAACCGATCCAGATCACAACATCGAAGTAGATCGCCAGACCAATCAAGATCACCTTATAGATCCAGATCACGATCACAGTTTCCAGTTAGTGCAACGAATCGATCTAGATCACCTTCACGATCCAGATCACCATCACATACCCGATCTAGATCACTGGATCGATCCAGATCACAGTCACGATCCAGAGCACAACTACGATCCACATCACCTGATCAATCCAGATCACCGGACCGATCCAGATCACCTAGCCGATCCAGATCACCGAACCGATCCAGATCACAACATCGAAGTAGATCATCGGACCGATCCAGATCATCTCATCGATCCAGATCACCGAATGGATCCAGATCACAACTTTGAATCAGATCACCTGACCGATCCAGATCACCGAATGGATCCAGATCACAACATCGAAGTAGATTGCCAGACAGATCCAGATCACAACATCAAAGTAGATCACCTAACCGATGCAGATCACCAAATCAAGCCAGATCGCAACTGCAAACCAGATCACCTGTTCGATCCAGATCACCTTATAGATCCAGATCACGATCACAGTTTCCAGTTAGTGCATCGAATCAATCCAGATCACATTACAATCCAGATCATCTTACCAACCCAGGTCACCTATACGATCTAGATCACCTTACAGAGCCATTGACCAGTTGGGATCATAGTACAGATCCATATCTCATGGCCGATCCTATTCAGATGGTCGAACCAGAGCTCCAATCGGAACCAGATCACCAACTAGAACTACAGCGTCCCGGACTAGTTCTTCATATCCTACCGGATCACCTAGCCATACTAGGGAATCCAGATCACCAGCTTACCAACCTACTCCGGTACTTACCACGTCGAGATCTCGATACAGTTCCTCTGACTGACTTTCTGGTGATCATTGCTCTGATACCACTAATAGGCCTACAGTCTCTTACGATGTTCCGTCTACACGCTCTGAGAATCCTTCGACTACAGCGACTCCGGATCTAAAGATGATGATCAGGGCCATAACCTCAGCCTGGAACCAAATACAGCCTTCTACTCCAGCCCATCTGGCTTCTGTAGCTCCTGGCTCTTCATCTGGTTCACCTCCTGAGATTGATCCAGTCCAAATAGCCATGCCTGCATCTCCCACTCACTCTGTGTTATCTACCCCTGGGGGTAGCTTTGCAGCAGTTGAGACATCTCAGATACTCCTTTGGATTGTTGAGAAGCTCCAACTTCCCTTCAGTACTTCGGCCGATGACCTGGATCACACTTATACTCTTAGGAACCGGGATTGGTCTACCATCACCCTACCACCTTGACCTTGTATTCTGAAATCATCCAGTACACTAAATGATGGTTTCAAGAGCCTGAAACGAATTAAGGACGGATTCTCTGCTCCCAGATATAATCTCTCTCTTCTACCTCTCATGTCCACGGCCTAACAAAAATCTCTACGGCTCCAACAGTTGATGAGGATATTGGAACCCTGTGTGGCAAACGAGCTGCTTCGCCCTACCTTATTGAGGACCGAGAGTTGGCTCACATGGATTCAGCCGTGAGAAAGACGTTGCCATCCATTAGTTGCGTGATTGCAGCAGTCGACGCTGTTAACACTGCTCTGGAGCATACTTATTCTGATCAAGACGCTTACATCTGAGGATGCATGACTTTAGCTCTGGACCAGTTCCAAATTATCCTGGATCAGTTGTCTAATTTTTTGGGCTACACCCTTGCTGTGCTGACATGGACCCCTTAACATCTCTTCATGGGAGGAGCGATTTAAAACAGAACTGTTTCGCCAGCTTTGGTTTTCTGACTCCCTCTTCAATGGTAGCATCCAAGAAGTATCTACTAAAGTTGATAAAGAAACCCACTTTCAAGTCTCGATTGAACTGTTAAAGATACAGAAGTCACAGCTCCAGGACTCATTAAAACAGCGTCGAACTGCACAGTTCACCTACCAATCCAGATTTACTCAATCTGTTTTGTGGCGCATCCAGTCAAGACCGTGGCAGACGAAATAAATCTGGCCATGGTGGTTCCTCCAGTTTTTTTTTTCTCACCCCCCCCCCCCCCTTCCTTCTTCCCTCTCTCCCAAATGTTTTAATTTGTGTGATTTTGACACGACCCCTACCCGCTTAGCATCACCCTCACAATGTTTGTGTTCCAGAACATTTGTCAGTACCCTTGCTGCTACTCCTAAAGCTTTTGCTGCCCGCTCACGGAATTTATTAATGGCATAAAATGGTTTGCCCCTTTCGGCTTCAGCACAGAAAAAATCGTACACTTTAATCATCAACTGTTTCACGTCAGCATTCAACTTCATTTTTCATCAGGCATTTGTATCCCGTGCACGATGAGATAGTGGCCGTTCCGTTTCTGCGGTTTCAGCCCGCCGCGACAGATGACAACTTTTGCGTTTTCAATGATGATAGTTTCTTCAAGAACTTTTGTGGTGGAGTCCGGAAAATTTTCAAATATAAGAAAGCTCTTGGGTATTAGTTAATGATAAACATGTGTACTATTTATATTTATGTGGCAATTTTGTACAATGATAAAATTTGCAATTCATCGGTCCGTTTCTGACTCAAACGGACTGTATTCGTCGATGCATCCCTCATGGGTTGGGGAGCTCACTTCCTCGACCACCAAGTTGCCGGCTGTGGTCATCCGACGAACGGGTACTTCATATAAATGAGCTGGAGTTCAAGGCGGTAATTCAAGCCATCGCACATTGGGCAACAGAGCTTCAATCAACCAGTCTGTTGATCCAATCAGACAATTCGACAGTGGCTTGGTATATAAATCATCTAGGCTAGACAGGCTTGATGAATCTGCTACAATGGGCGATCAGGTTCTTCCAACTCATCGACTCACTCAACATCGTAGCCAGAGCCAGACACATTTCCGGGATAAAAAATGTGATCGCCTATGCCTTATCCCGATCCAACCGCCCGTCCCCGACAGGGTGGAAGTTACTGCCCCAGATCTTTCAGTCGATGATCTACCCGTTATCACGGCCTCAAATAGATCTGTTTGCCACAAGGTTCGTCAACATAAGGAGCCTGGCAGAGCCAAACCCAGTACCGCTTCCCAATCGGGACGACCTACCCTCACTCAGAACGGGTCACCTCAGACCCTCAATCTACACGTTTGGCGCATCTTCAGAGGTCTCTCATAGCTAAGGGCTACATGTAGCCACAGCTATCACTTCAGCACATCGTACTTCGACCCGTTCCTTGTACGACAACAAGTGGAAGAAGTTTGAAGACTATTGCAAGGTTAGGGGAATTGCATCTCCCACTTCCACCTCGGCTCAGGTCGTTGCTGAGTTTCTCCAGCATCTCCGCACTACTAAGAAACCTAAGGGCTACATGTAGCCACAGCTATCACTTCAGCACATCGTACTTCGACCCGTTCCTTGTACGACAACACATGGAAGAAGTTTGAAGACTATTGCAAGGTTAGGGGAATTGCATCTCCCACTTCCACCTCGGCTCAGGTCGTTGCTGAGTTTCTCCAGCATCTCCGCACTACTAAGAAACCCAAGGGTACTACATTAGCTACCTACTTAGCCGTCATCAACTCGGTTTTGGCTATCACCATGGGCATGGCGATTTCCACTGTTCCCGAGTTGCAGAGTCTACTACGCTCCTATAGACTCTCTGACCAGTCCAGGAAGCTCAGACCTCCAGCCTGGGATCTGTCCGTCATCCTTCGTCATATGATTTCTACAGATTATGAACCTTTAGAAGACAAGGACTTCGAACAAGTGACATTCAAGACATTCTTCCTGGTAGCTTTGGCTACCGCTGCTCGTATATCTGAACTCCATGCGCTTGATGTCAATCGGCTGCGGTTCGAGCGAAAGAAGCATGGCAAGGTTTTCCTGGGTCTCCTCTGGGACTTCATTGCGAAAAACCAACTGCCAGGGCAACCGGACCGGATGTTTACTATTCCCCCCGTTGTCCACCATTCCTGGGCCTGATGATAATGAAGATTTGACACTCTGCCCTGTTAGGGCTCTACACGTTTACCTTGCTGCCTCCAAGGATTGTTGACGGCTACGGAAGCGCCTCTTCATACCCTTGTCGACTGCTTCAAGAACTGAGGTTTCCCGGACCACATTGACGTTCTGGATGCGTGCCACGATCCTGCGAGCCTACACCTTTGCAGGGTTGCCTCCTCCAGCCGCTTCCAATCCTCATGAGACTCGTGCACTAGCCTCGACGATGGCCCTCCATAGCAACTGCTCCTTGACTGCTATCATGGAAGGTTGCTTCTGGTGTTCTGATACAGTCTTCTCTTCACATTACCTGCGAGACCTGTCTGTCACGGATGTCCAGGGACTACACCAGTTCAGACCTCTTGTACTGGCTCAGCAGCTTACATCGGCCCAACAACGCAGATGAGGGACTGTTCCGCATTCGCGTTACTGCTTCCTTGTATATACTGAATAAAATTTGAACTGGATCTCAACCTTTTGTTCTCATTATATGGGTTTAAGAACTACTTCACTTGGCCTCCATACCAAGGCATCGGAATACGGCCACCTAGCGTGGCCCTACGGACCTGAGGCACAATCAGTATGACGATGCAGAGGTGTTCGACATTCACGCTTACTGACCTCTACTCCACGGAGCAATTACGTCAGTGAAGTGTGACACTCCCGAATTCCAGTGGAATTCGTTTGACGAAGCTTAGGCAAAGGAGTGAGGGTCAATTTGATGCTGCTCGGAACTGAACTTTAAACCTTGGAGATGCCGAGTTGTGTTTCTCTTTCACCCGCCTTGGTCGGTGTCTGGGGGGCCTTCTTGAAGCAGGGTCTGGCCTGATTCTAGTCTCAAGACTTTAATTACGGGGGTACCTTGTAAATTGTGGCGAGGCGAGGCCTACTTTTCGATTTGCGTCCCTTGTCTTGTACAAGGTTGCGGCCGAACACCACATCGCTCTGGAGCACCCATCTCCCTGGGAGTCGTTGTGCTTAGTAAGCAAAGGGGTTCTGGAGAACCCACTACAAGCATAGGAGTAACAGGCCTCCCTTGTGCATCGCTATCTACGGTTGTCATCAGTCCACACAGCTCCAAGACCAGCTGTTCGCACTGTCAAGACAAAAGGGTAATCTGTGGCCCGCCGTCTAACTGTGGGATAAGTGCAAGTCGTGAGATAGGATAAGTTTTAAAATTTGAAATTATAATATAAATTGTATATTTATATACTTATCCTATCTCATGCGATGGATGCCCACCCGGCCTCCCCACTACTCAGATTACAACGTTGGCTCCAAGATGAGAATGATCATTCAAGGTAGTCACGTGGGCAATTAGTGGAGCATGCTGCAAGCTTTATTAGCAACTAGGAAGCTAATTAAGGAGAGCAGTTTGGAGTGCACGGGCGAATGGACAAGGAGGCCTATGGAAAAAAGTTTACAGTCGTTCCACTAAAAGTTGAAGCAAGAGAGAGAGGTGCAAGTCGTGAGATAGGATAAGTATATAAATATACAATTTATATTAAAATTTCCAATTTGCATGAAGTCACTGTCACTGTGTTCACTGTCAACTGTCAATGAACAGTTGTTCGGTACATGTCATGTTTCCAAACACTTTTGCGCATACCCAGTTACGCTAAATTTACAAATATTACAGTGAAATGCAATGAAATCAGATATACATCCCAAAAAGCAATATTTCAACTTCTACTTATAGGTTCAAATTTATTTCTTTTAAGGGTTACCTATCTGGCATGTTGTATGTGTGTTAAAATATCTCAATGTCTTGAATAAGTTATCAATTTCTTTTGTCAGCACAGGCAACTGAAGTCACTTTATACACGTATCACAAAATGTTCTGAGAACTTTTAAAAAATCCCATTATCACCTCTTGTGTTAGATGGAGAATGAATGTGAGCTACTGTGCCTATTGTACTCCCGGTATCATCAACAAACTAAATGTGTTTTATGTATCAGGTGCCCTGACAAAAGGGGATAGACGGGCAGCAACAGGAGCTGACTTGACAGAGTTTAATTTTGACACACCTTATGGACGAAGTGCATTGAGAAGCATGTACCACTGTATTTGCCAGGTAAGTGGAGTTCCACACTATATGGACGTTGTGTAGGCACAGCCGAGCTTAACTGATTCTGATGAACCACCATTGTGGGTGGAATACAGGTCCCGTAGCGCTGCAAACACAGTTTGTTAGCTTGTTAGTTGTAAATCCTACATTCAGCAATATAACAGCTATTTGACAGCAATGTGTAAGTACATAGCAAGTTTTGGCCAAACAGTTTTCAGCTCATACATATTCCATCAGATTGGGATAACAAATGTTCAATGACTCACTATCCATATACCGGTAGGTTAACTCTTTATAAGATGGTTATGTGTAGTAATGAATGTTAGAGATATTCCGCTTCATTGTATACTTTTAAGGCGCAATGTCATGCTTTATCGACAGTATTTTGGTCTATTATATATATATATATTGAGGCATATGCACTCACTTTAGCTTCCTGTTGATGCAATAAAATCCCTATTATCCTTAACAGATAACACTTGCCAGATATGGAATGTAAATGATTGCCCCGTACATCCAAAACTGTGGCATGCGGTATTGTCGGTGTTTGCCGAACTGGCCTCAATCACAAGTTGCGTAATAGGATATTCATAAAGAGCGTTCCAAGGGACATAACTCAATGGGGTTAGCTTGAAATAAAGTTTGGTCGGAAGCGGGCCCAAGAGTTGAATTAATGCATTAATTCATTAATTCATTCGAACTTTTTAATTTCATATTGTCATCTTAATACATAATTATTTTCGGAATAAATTATATGGTAGCTTCGCTGGGGGCTGATAGTATTAATGAGAATACTGATTTTTAGAGAAGTGTGGCGTGATAGTGTGCCTTTACAGGTGAAAGAATGAAATTTTTAAGGTTGAGAAAAGTGGTATTTACATTGCAGTGACAGAAATTTGATACGTTCACTGCAGAGAAAATATAACCTTGCTGGAACTACTTCATCTCTCAACAAAGGTTTCTGTCCATAGTCTTGTTAGTAATGTTACACAACAATGTCAGTAAGCCTGATCATCGGATGACTTACCTTCAGCCTAGAAAATGCCCATCAATTGTTCATGAACAAAGAGTGAGTGAGTGAGTTTAGTTTTATGCCACGCTCAGCTATATTCCAGCTATATGGCGGCGGTCTGTAAATAATCAGTATGGACCAGACAATCCAGTGATCAACAGCATGAGCATCAGTCTACGCAATTGGGATACGAAGACATGTTCAACCAAGTCAGCGATCCTGATCCCATTAGTCCTCTTATGACAAGCATGGGTTACTGAAGATCAGTTCTAACCCGGATCTTAATGGGTTCCCGAAAAAAGAAATGAACAGTCTTTAGTTTACAGTTGGGAGAATTTGGATTTCATTTATCAAATTTCATCACATTTTCACATCACTCGATGACAGAAATATACTTCCTACACAAGATATATCTGTGTCTTTCTGTTCCAGAAAAAACTTGTTGCAGGTGTGTCTCTGTCTAAAATGACAAATGGAGAGTATGACTTTGATCAGTTGAACACTCTACTGCAGGTGAGTGCTTTCATGATGCAAAACTTTCTATGCCAGGGTTTGGATGACTGAATGTTAAGTTAGCTTATGTCATGGAATGGCCTTTGTCCAAAACATCAGGAATCCCTGAACAAAAGAAGATGCAGTTTCACATAATATTCCTATGATGACACCCATATTTCTTCCAGCAGTCACTTCCAATCTTTCAACAGCAGCAGTGTTGAAAAACCTCTATGGCTATTAATCAGTTATTTTTTGTCACAAAAACAAACGCCTTAATTTTCACTGTTTTCTCACTACTTGAAAATGCAAATTTTGTATACATCAAACCTTTTATGTTATCTTGTCATCTTAGTTTCTTGTTGCCCATGTTGATCTTTTCCAAACAAGACCTGGAAACTTTGAATTTTGTGTTGACATAGTATTCTTTGTGTACCATGATATCATTCCTCTCATTGATTCTATGTTTTAAGTCAAAAACAAAAGCTATAAGAAGTGCTGAATTTTAAGTACCATAATTTCACAGGCATGTATCTGACTGTATCTATTATCTGTCTGTAACTTTAACAAATACTTATTTAAATAAAATATTAATGACATGCAATGAAAGTTCTCAAATCCATGAAGCTAATGTTGTACCTTCAGGAGAGTCTTGTGTTGATGGGCCTGGTGGAGGTAGACGTTCTCCGACTTGGAGCAGCTGTCAAGGACAAGGATGCAGGAGATGTCAGCAAGTTCCTCAATAGAATTCTTGGACTTAGTGTGGAGAAACAGAACTTGGTCAGTCTGAAGTCCCGATGGTGAAATTACTGGTATTTTGCTAAAACTTTGTCAAGGTTACTAATTCATCAAACTACTTTTCTGTTGGCCAAAACACATATATCGCTTCAAGCAAACAAACAAGTGAAATCATATTGTTTTTCAATGAGGATGTGAATTTTACTATTAAAACATCACATGATGATTTACCATTTCAGTTGGACATGTATTTATTTTTTTGCTAGGCTTTGTTTTATTTACAGGGATAAGTATTACCATGTGTATTTGTCTCATAAACAGAACCAAAAAAGCTATCACCTCTGCACACAAATTCTCCCAATCTAATGTAGTGGTGATTAAGCCAAAATATGTAAATCCAGTAATACAAAGGAAATATATTATTTTTCCTTATCCTGACTCATGTATTATTGCTTGTCTCCTTCCTTTCCCGAACGTTAGTGGAACACTTGTATCTCCTTTTTGGAGCTCCCTTTAAAAAAAGCAGACGTAAAATCACCACTCACCACGAGTTGTCTCCCACTGGTTTTGGCGGGAAAACGGCGCCACCCGTCTTCCCATGCTTCACTCTCTCCTTCTTCGCCCTAGTGGACGGTTGGGAGAGCACCTGTGTCTCCAACACGGCACTATATCCTTTGCTAACTTAGTTATTACCCTATAAGTTACCTTTATAAGGTTTCAGGGAGTATCCTTCTACAATATGGTTTGAAATTTATTTGCAAATTTGACTGTTTATTTAAGAATTGAATGTCAGTTTGTGTGTTTGCACTGAAAAATGAACGATGTCAAAGCGGTGTTCAAACTCGTGTGAACGAGCGAGTTCTGGCGAGTTCACGCGAGAGTTTGAACAACGCTTTGACATCGTTCATTTTTCAGTGCAAACACACAAACTGACATTCAATTCTTATAATTCAAGACTTTGAAGTTTACACATACGTTTTCCACCCACTTGTAGATGATCATTGTTTAGTGTGTTTTAATACCTGTAAAATGTTGTAATGCCATTCGGTTCAAGAACGTCACGTATTGCAGCGATGTTTGTATACACAGCGATTTCTTTATACACATGTATCCCAACCCTTCAAGAAATAGTTCTCAAAGTATTCGATCTTTAAAATATAACAACAAATTCGTTATGAGGGTTTGAAACTGCTTCAATAAGTATAATCAATAACAGTATCAAACAGAAACAAATATCAGAAGCAATAACAATACCATTTTAACAAACTGGCATTGTACCTTTTCACTTGTAAATACCTTGTTTGACCGCGTAATAATACACTGACCGACTTGAAGTTGTAGCGCGTGGCGAATAGGAAACAGATGTTGTTGTATTCTATTTATTTGTGATTGTTTATTGTGAAATTTATTGAGCAGTTGTTAAACAGACCTCGGGCAGAAAACCGGCCGGATGAACCCGCAAACTGCGAGACATTAAACTCCTGTGAAAAGGAACAATGTTCAGCAATCCGTTTGGTAGTGACATTGCCAAACTTGGGGTGACTTGAAACAGGTTCGTTCGCGAAATTGGTATCACCAATTATTGGGGGTCCTTGAAACCGCAGCGAAAAACGTTCACACACGTATGAACGGTGTTTACACAAGTATGAACGATTAGAGGGGTTCAAGACTAATGAACCTTGAAATTTAGATCACATGACCGCTCTCTCAACCAACCAACGTTCAGGAATCTGTGTAAACTTGAAAGCACGAAATTATTCACGGTTTCACGTGATTGTTCAGTTTGTTTACATTTCATGAAAACCTGTTTTCGTTGTAGGTTTAGGTTCTCTGCTGCAGACACGCATTTATTGTGCCCCAGTTGCACAACAATATGTACTTCCAGCTCTCGCTGTAAATTATGTCAGCAATTAACAAAAATTGAATTAATAATTATTATTTCTCTGTACTTAGACGTGCTAAGGATAAATCCAGACGACTGTTGCAAGTCATGGCTAAACCGTCTGAGTCCCTAAAGAGCTGTCTATCGTTGTCAGACGAGATACTTCTATCCAGTGACCTGCCGGAGGCGTCTTCAGAAGATGGGCGTGGGATGAGGTCCGCCATTACGTCGAAGAAAAGATCTTCTACGTGCTACAACTCCTCAACCCATACGAAGAAGAAGAGGCCATCTTCGTCGCAGAAGAAGCCTTACACCCCTAAGGCTTCAACGAGATCTACTGGGAGCTCTTCACAGACTACAAGGACCTTCTCTGCCTAGATCGTCCCGATGGTAGAAATAGGCTTATACGTAGAACCTCCTATCCTCATCCCAGAGATACTGCATAAGAAGAAGACGCAGGCCTCAGCAACGGTAACGTCAGCATTATCGACGCAGTCTGAGTTACCTTCTACACTGGCAGCAGGGACCCATGAGGTACAGCGATCCCTGGACCATATCGCTACCCTCTCAGATGCGTCATCTCTACAGTCGTCGCAGACATTCAACCCCGGGACCTTCATGCAGCAATTCTCCCAACAGATGATGGACCTGATGGAGACGCGCTTCGCGCAGGACCTTGCATGATGGTCAGGCAGCCGCCTCTCATGCTCAACCAATGCTGCACGAAGGACCCCGCACCGGTGGTGCATCTGAGATATCTACAAGAGGTTCTAGCTCTAGGACTAAGAGCAGACCTACCCTGCACGACGTCAACGAACCTGCGCGAAGGAAGGGACATTCATCCGACCAAAATAGATCGTCATCTGATGATGAAGCTAATGAAGAGCCTTCGCGCAGGCTACCTACATCACAGAGAGGCTTACACCTCCAAGAAGATACAGAGAGACGTCTCAGGACGCAGACCCTCAACAAAATCTCTCACCTGCATGAAGGTCGTCAGATAGATCATCAAGAATGTCACCATCACCATGCAGGTCGTCACGGGATTCACCACATAGGAATATATTGCCTATATGGACGGTTCGCGCAAGCCTAAAGGACGAAGCTGCGGGATGTATTCGGCATGAAGAAATGTGTGAAGGATCACTCACTTGACAGTCATGCACTGCAGTTTCGACGATTAATATAGACATCCTTGGCCATCCCACTTCACCCTCAGACCCATGATCTTCGTTGTGAGCCTATACGAAGGAACTCTTTAGCATGGACGAAGAAATCTTCGCCTGCGCAAAGACAGAGGGACACGTGTTGAAGTTCAAGAGGGGTACTCTTTTCCGAATTCATCACCTGCGCAGATCTTCAGACTGAATCCAGGACGGGATTCACATCGTTGAGAAATTTTAGATAGATATATCTACATCAGAAGATAATAACGGGACTAACTGCACTCCTTGGTGCTAACAACCTACACCTTCTCAAAGGTTAGAGATGTATCTGAAGAATCCAGGAGGGACTCATGTCCATATAGAGATCTTCACTTGCATACAGATCTTCAGGTATTCACATTGGCGTGGTTCAGCACAGCCTTGCTAAGGCTATGAAGTTACAAAGTCAACATATTCCCAACGTCCAAGCTTGGGAATTCCCGCTACTTTACATGGGACCCTGCATAAAGGCTCCAGAGATTTATGTAAACTACAAAATCATCAACGACTCCCTTTGTAGAACTTACAACAAAAGTTGAGCATCAACTCTACAAGGACCTGTGTGTTTCAACACAAAGAGGGTATTTTACGACGCTTCATTGAGATCGATGAATGCAGTCTACAGGTGGCAGCGCTGAGGAGGTTTGGACTTCAGCTGATCATCTGTATAAAAGGACGACTGCATTATCTTCAGGACTGAAGTAACAGTCACAGCAGCCAGGAAAACAGCCTACCTACATCGGTATTACGCGGCGAAATCTTTCTCGCGTTTACCATTCAACCCTCTATACACGTGGTCACTCGTGTAACTCCGGAAGGCTACGGACAAGGCCGAGTGTTGATAACATATCAACGACTGCACAAGATTCTACAAGGATCTTTTTTCTGCTACACCGGTGACGTCACATCGCGGGAAGCTAAAGGAATCAAAATGCTTCAATTTGATTGGTCCATGAGAGACAACGCCCTGCGCAGAAGTCGGACGTAGTTCACATGTCAGGGAATTGTTTACAAGTGACAACAACCTTTCAACGTGGGAGGAAGGCCTCAATTACAGTCCAGTTAGACGGGAACTACGTGATTCGACTGTCTTCACGGGGTTAGAGACCTTCCCTGTCAGCATTGAAGACGGTTCATCAGGCGAATTGCAGCAACATACGTTTCACGGACTTTTGGTTACGGCAGCCAGTCTACCTTACATAGACTTCACAACGATGGCAGTCACAGAGTCGGACATTGCTTCGTTGCCCTTACAGACATGGCAAGGGTTTCACGATCGTTGGATCTAGATACAAGTCATTGTATCTCAAGCACTACTCTCTCCGTTATTACTACGAAGTTGGCAGAGCCTACTCAGTCCTCAAGTCGGAATGTACCATTAGATAGGACATCTTTTGAGTTCTTGAGGCATAAAACTCTATTCCTGATCGCCTTAGCAACAGCAGCAAGGATGTCAGAAATACATGCTCTAGACTTTGAGAGGACACGATTTGACAAAAATCGAAACATCGTGCATATGGGACTGAGATGGGACTTTATAGCAAAGAATCAACTGCCAGGTCAACCGGACAGACAATTCCACATCCCAGCACTATCATCAGTCCTTGGGCCACAGGATACACAGGACCTATCCTTATGCCCAGTAAGAGCATTGAAAGTCTACCTACAAAGGTCTAGGACCAGGAGATGAAAATTCAAGCGTCTTTTCATCCCTATATCGACAGCGACACAGACGGAGATCTCTCGCACTACAATATCAATATGGATGAGAACTGTCATATTGAGGGCCTACAAAGCAGCAGGACTTGATCCTCCAAGAGCCTCCAATCCACATGAAATTAGAGCTCTGGCATCAACACTCGCTCTACATGGGAATTGCTCTATCACGACGATAATGGAGGGCTGCTTCTGGAAATCGGACATGGTGTTTGCCAACCACTACCTGAGAGACATCG